TGGAGCCCTGCAGAGCAACACCTCCATCTCCTCTCCTTCCTCCTCTTCCCCTCCCCCATCTCTCCTCACACCTCCCTCTCTCTAGGGATATAAACAGGTAACCAGTATCCCCCTTACCAGTAACCGCTTAACAGGGCCCAGCCTGACTGGAGCAGCCCCCGCAGCATGGTGGGGTGGTTAACGGCTAAAGATTGTTTAACAGTTAACATTTAAAATGAGATTTTAGATCCCCCTCCCCCTCCAGCCTTTCCTTACACAGCTCCCTCCACACCCCCTCATCTTTCCCGCTAGTTTCTGCTACGGCGCATGCGCCCCAACCCTGCTCTCCTAGGCGCCTGCGCCAGCCGTGCCTCAGGGAAGGAGCGAACTCGCGGGAGCGTCAGTCAGTGTTGCGCATGCGACAAGGTCAGGCGTTTTCTCTCTCTTTGCCGTACCGGTACTGCGGTGTGTAAGCCTCTGCGGTAGCGCATGCGCCTTGATGTCGAAGCGCCGGGGAAAGCGCATAGGGTTTTTTCTCCGGCGCATGCGCAATTGATGTCAGGCAGCGGAGGGAAGGAGTGGAATGGGCATGAGGTTCTGGACGCTTGCGCAACATAGGGTAGGCGGGGGGAGCCTGTCACAGCAGTTCTGCGCCCGGCGCGTGCGCACTGGCCGGCCACGGGCTTAGGCGGCGGAGGGAAGATGGCGGCGGTGGTACAGAATGTGGTGAAGCTGTGAGTGGTTGCCCCTCTTTCCCCCCATTTTCCTGCCCCGCCCCCCGAGCGATCAGCGAAGCCGCCCGGCTGGGCCCCGACCGCCCGGGCCCGGCCCCCGGGGCGCCCAGGAGCGGGGAGCAGCAGAGCCCTCGCGGGGCATGGGTGAGGAGACCGCTCTCGCAGGGCCCCCCCAGGGTCCGTGGGGCGGGAAGGGGGGAGCAGGGACTGCGCCTGCTTAGCATCAGGGAGGGAGGTTGGATTATCACCCTCAGGACATCACCGAGAGCAGCAAGTTGACGTCCGCTCTTCTCCCACTGGGGGATGGGGAAGACGATAGCTCCATTTATAGAGCTGGGGTGGGGAACAGGCTAGGATAGGGGCTGCAGCTTTTCTTTCCACGGGAGCCATGTGAGAGCCCAGGCTACTGCTTCTTGCCCAGGTGCTGAGAGGTGGAAAGGCTACAGGCCATTTGACCTTCTAAAGTAGCTTTTTCCACACTTTTCTTAGATGCTAGTAATGAGATAAAGAAGACGATAGCTCCATTTATAGAGCTGGGGTGGGGAACAGGCTAGGATAGGGGCTGCAGCTTTTCTTTCCACGGGAGCCATGTGAGAGCCCAGGCTACTGCTTCTTGCCCAGGTGCTGAGAGGTGGAAAGGCTACAGGCCATTTGACCTTCTAAAGTAGCTTTTTCCACACTTTTCTTAGATGCTAGTAATGAGATAAAGTAGGAATGGGGTGGCCGCAAGACTACCCTAAGGTTGGGGACTACAGCTGCCTACCCTCACCAGGGTGGGAAAAGAGACAGCTCCCCTCATGTTCTTGGTCCACATGGTGTGAAGGAACAAAAGTGCTATTTTAAAACTTGGACTTGAAAAATCATGGTGATTCAGCCAGACAGAATGCTGTGTTTGCATTGAAAATGGGCTGGATTGAGATGGAACCAGGGTTTAAAGTGAGAAGGGTTTTGAGGTAGGTTGAATATGGATGGTAGACCTTAAAGGAGGGAGTGGTTGTTTATAACTGTGATGACATTGTTTATTGCCTCTTGAGGCTATCAGCTTACACTCTGCTTTCATTCTCCATTTTGTCCTCATAATGGCTGTCATATGGGATACTGAAGTCCGGAAAAAGTATTTGACCTAACTGGGGTTAAATCCAGGTATATGATTTCCATGCTTCTGTTTCAGTTCTGTTTAGTTTCTCTTCTTGATGTTGTCATACCTTTGCTGTATCTAAAGATACTTGAGAAGAGCAAAAGATTTTCTCTGGAATGCACAACACTGCAGATATTCTTAAAAATTCCTTGAGGAAAGGACAGTCTTAGCACTAAGAACATCACTTTCTCTTTCTCAAATAGCATGATTTGAAGCTTTGTGCAGAGGGAGGGGAGGGTCTTCTTTGGGATAAAGGCACTGCAGAGGACCTTGGGTAATTTAGGGTGGAATCCTGGCTCAGCCATTTGTTTCCCACCTGTCCCTGGGTATGTTACTTAATCCCCAGGCATGTCTCCCCAAGTGTGGATGGGGGAGGGAGGTGCCTCCTGCCTCAGCCAGCATGACTGCTTGAGCTCTGGTAGCCTTTGTGGACCAGCACCAGTCCATGGTAGGGTAGCAACTAGTCAACTACCTCAAAGCATATGCTAATTGGGTAGTTGAGTAGTGACTTGACTAGTTGCCCTTCTTCCCTGCTGCCTCTATTAGAGAGAGGCAGCAAGGGTGGGAGGAGCAGGAGCTGGAAAGCCTGTTCCCCCCCAGCACCGTCTGAGGGAGCAGGGGAGGCAGAGTCATAGCTGGGACTGGGCATGAGCATACTGTGCCTCTGCTTTTTAAATGTAGTAAGAGCCTGGTAGCTCTTAATATATTTAAAAAGCAGAGCCGCAGTGGCCCTGGGAGTTAACCCCACTGGGGCTCTGCAGTTTCCCCTCTTATCCACTAATTGAGTAGTCAGTGGAAATTCTATTGACTGCTGATTACATGCAATTTAAATCCCTAGTCCACAGATTGACAGTTGGGAACCACTGACTTAATCTAGCTACTCTGTGCTTCAGTTCCCCATCTGTGGAAAGTGGATAGCCCTTCCCTTTTTCTTAATGGACATGGTGAGGAAAAATCCTTTAATGATTGAGATGTATAGACATATAGTAAGTAGGGGCTGTATAGGTACCTAGATCTCTATAAAGCTACACTATCAGAAGTACAGGTATTGTAGAGTAGAAATATAGAATATCTCTTATATAATGTCTTTCACCACTAGATCTCAAAGCAATTTACATAGTATTGTTATCCCCAGCACCAAATGCTACATTACAGTAATAATCCACGTACTTTGCACCAAAATGTTAGGACAGTGTATTATAATAACATGCTTTTAAATAAGGGATGACTGAGCCAAACCTCCTCTTAATTCTCCCCATTCTTCTGCTCTGAGAGTGACTTTTTGCACATAATTTGGTCTTAATTCAGTCAAAAAACAAGCAAAATGTAATTATCAAGTTATCCACTTGTCCTATGTCCATGGAATTTATTTTTAATGAAGAGGGCACTTGTTGAATTTTTTTATTTTTCGAACATAATATGTAAATGAATAGCTGTTTTTAAAAACTAATGGTAGATGTTTAATTATCATTGTGTGTTTAGCTAAAGCTGTTTTAAACATATTTTTTTTAAATCATTGTTGGTACAGAGTAGGTAAAATCTGAGTGTGTGGACCCAGTGTGCAAGGCAGTGTATATAGTCTGTGCCCTGACCTCTTTATGACCCAAACAGATGAGACAAAAGATGGGACTAGGTTGCTCAAGGTCATGGAGCTAGGAACAGATCTAGGTCTCCTGTATCCCAGTCCAATACCTTAACCATTGGACCATACTGCTTCTCCAGTAGCATTTTAATACCATTTTAGAAAGCAGGGTTATAGACTTGAGGTCGGATCCTCTTGTCAGTCATGTCAGAGGTAATCTCAAGTAACTGTCAAATTTTTAGTGTTGTATTTACTTGTAGAATTGAAAGCAGAGTAGGTTCCTATGTCCTTTAGAAAAATGGTTTTTCTCAGTAATTCCTGGAGGCTGGAACAGATTTTTCAGTCCTGACCCCTCTTCTCACTTCCAGCCCTGTTCCACCCCCAAGTCCTTGGGAGCTGCCATTACTGCCCAGAGTGCATTGACTGGGAACACCTGCCCCAGCAGAGGTGGCAGCTCAGGCTCCTCACTGAATCTGTTCTTTTTTCCCTCCTTGGATCAAGATATTTTTGTATATTACCTGGAAATGTTGGATTTTTTAAAATATTGTGCTTTATTTGTTAAGTCTGCTCTGCAGAACTTACCTGGAAATGTTGGATTTTTAAAAATATTGTGCTTTATTTGTTAAGTCTGCTTGGGCTGTATCTGAATGCACAGCAATGGTGTGTCTGTACAATCAGCTTGTGCATTAAGTTGAGATGTAGTTTTTAATTGCATCTTATAAATGTGCATTAGTAGACTGAACTGTATAAGATAAGACTTCAATAAAAAAAATTAGGTTATGGATTTTTAAGAGAGTATCCAGTCATATCCATGGAAGCTTTCACTCTTCCGTTAAGATGTCTCTTTCCTGTTTTTTTCCACCCTGCTTTTAGTTCCTTTCCTGATCTTTGATCCATGCTAGAAGTCCAAACCATATTACGCTGCTAAGGGGAATCCTATTCTGTTTCTGAATACTTCAGGAAAATTTTCCATCCTGAAAATTGTTAAAATAGTTAATGCTTATGTAGTGCCTTTAACTCAAGAGACTAAAATTGTTTTATAAGGGAGGGTAGTTGGAATTACCCATTTCAAGCATGGAGGAAATGAGCAGAACTGGGAACTATTAAGATTACTCTGAATGAGTAGCAGAACTGGGACTAGAGTTTAGGTCTCTTAAATCGGTCCAAGGCTCTCTCCAGTGCATTATTTCTAAGACTGCAGTGGGGAAGAGACTTGTTTTGTCAATAACATAATTTACTGATCAGTTATCAGGGCAAAAGACTGCTACATACACTGATTGGAGGATTGTTTTGCAAGCAATAGAGCAGGGCTACTCAACATGCGGCCCACAGCCCATTTGTTTGTGGCCTGCAGTGCAGTTTGGGTTTATGCGGGGCTCAACATATGGTCTGCAGGTGGGAGCCAAAACCAAAAAGTGGTCAATATAATGGTCTTCTGTTGATATGCATTTTAGTAGTTAAATTCCTGGACTGTCATTGCTCATTAAGAGTGCTGTCATATGGGTGGAAATCGGATAAATATTGCATTTTATTAATATCAGCAGAACTGACTTAAATGGGGACTACATGTTGTGTAGTCTTGCCTTAATCTTTGTATTCATGCTTGTCAGTGTGAAATAAGCTATTTGCGTATATAAGCAACCACACTTAAGTTGCCGCATGTGCTGTGAGTATCATTGTGGCCCCTGGGGCTTGCAAAGTTGAGTAGCCCTTCAATAGAGGGTTTCATCTGTAGAATGGCTATAGCTTCAACTCCTTTCTACACTACAAATCTAGCTGTAGAGGGGGAGAGGATAGTTGGGAATGTGGCTAAACCATAATGAAATTTCATCTACTACTGCACAGTACTATAACCAGGACTTCCCCGGTCCACTTAGTTTTTAACACACATATGACTTGTACCACATATTACTTTATGGCACTGATTTTTGCTAAGATTAGTGTAACCTTACATTTGGAAACCCATAAGGACAGTGACTCTCATAGTTAGTTCTGTGGACCATTTTATCTCTTGTGATCTTGTTTGGTTGTCAAATCTTTCTGTGCTATGAATAAGCAGAAAGCACATTGGATGAACCAGAATATTTGTTGGGCAGCTGTGGAGCCAAGGAGGTTTCATGTGCATGTGAAGTGTATATTAATATCTTATTTTTTGAAAGTTTTTATTCTCCAGTTAAAGGGGCTGGTTTCCCTTTAATTTACATCAGTTTTCCTCTGTCTAACTCCACTGACTTCGATTGTTAATCCTGATCTTTATTGGTGTTGGATCAGAAATGGGAT